TGGTTTGTTGACAAGAGTTTTATACGTGTGAGACTGGAAACTATTATTTCCTCGGTTTTTTCCTAACAATGGTGATTGTGTGTAGTGTGCCTTTTCGTGAAAATAATTCCTATTCACCGGCGGACGTGTCTTTCCATAAGTTTTCATCAAATCCTACATTTGTCAAAATTTGGATACACAAAATCAGAACTGATACTCGCAAAAGTAAGGGAAATCCACGACCCATCAAGTATACAAAGATATCCACGTCCAAGTTTAGTTTGCGGAAGCTTTTTGCTTCCCACATTTTCTTTCCAATTTCAAATTTCACCATTCTATGTCGGTCATTGTCATTTTCCATTCACTGAACAAAGATACCTAACTCATCGGTGGAGTCACCGATTAGAATAAAAACCAGGGGATTGCTAAACACCCTATACACTTGACATTGACGAGCAAGCAAATGTTGGCGGGAATCTGAATGTTTTCATACTTTATCGTCCATCTCTTTTAATTGAAAATGTCAATTTGAGAATAAAGAGATAAAAAAGAGTGCGTTCGAGAAAGGGTTAAATTTTAGCCAAGGGTGAGAGTGGGCATATGGTCACGTGATCAAAAGAGTAAATATTGGGTGCGTACGATAAGTCCAACTACTGACCCTTTTTACCCTGACCCGTCATTAAATGTCGCACTTTTCACCAAAGAGAATACACACTCTAAGGAGCTTATCAACCTCATTTTTGATAATCGCCGCCATATTTTGGTTTTCAATCATTGCCGACGTCATAACTAAGTCGTCAGCTGTTTAAACAGGCTACGTCAAGGCGAGAAACGCCATGCTGCTTACGTCACAACTGGTTGTTTGGCGAGGGGTGGAGGGGGGGTAGGGGGGATTTTTTGTGATGTTGCAGAATTTTTTAATAATGGAAATTACGTGACTCGTAAGTTTTGACAATTGATATTTATTTGAAAGTAAACAAACCTTTTCACCGACATTAAAGCTGGATTTATAACTTCCGTAACGTAAGCAGTAAGCAGTATCCGTAAGACGTAAGAAAAATGAACTTATAGCAAATACATGCTCCTGGTTATAGTCTTTCAGTAACAAGTATGCAGTAAGCCGTAAGCAGTATGAAATGGTTCATTTTTATTTCTTACGGTTACTGATACGGATTCGGATGCAATCGTCGGTTCTCGTGTTAAAAAGTAACGCTTGTCACTGCCCCAGAGGGCGTTGGCCGCTGGCGTTGTTTTTGTTTTGGTTTTAAAAAGTGAGGTTCTGGAATTGTTTTGGGCCTTAGACAAGTTTTGGGCATTGGTGATTGAGCTCAATATTAGTTTTGGGTTAAAAATGAGTGAAATTGAAAGCCTATTAATAGATATTATCACCGATTTCTATTGGTTCAAATAAAATCATATTGCGCACGCGTAAGTTTTTACTGTCACAGCAAATTCAACTATAAATCAAGATGTTTTTACTGATACTTCTTACGGCATACGTCCTTACTTCTTACTGTTTACTGCCTACGTTACGGAAGTTATAAATCCAGCTTAAGGGCTTTTTAGACGACTTCCGAAAGCTAAATAAAATAGATTTCGATCCTAACAGTAGGGCTTTATTATTCTTAAACTACCCTGTTATCTGAATACAAAGAATTTACCCATTAGTACCTCGAAAAATTGGAAAAATATAACCTTGTTCAACAACTAGAGTCTGTTTTTTTTTAAAGATAATTCCCCAAGTCAGAAATTTAGTAACTATATTGGCAACACAAGCCTTTTCTACATAAAAAATTTGAAAGCATTGACAATTTCACATTGTATTACCAACAGAATGTCATTTTGACTTTTATCTTTAAAAAAAAAAACAGATTTTAGATATTGTTTCGAATCCAAACAAAAAGGTAGAAATCTAGTAAAATCCAATGAGAAACCTAACAATTACCGAAAAATATTAATTCTCAGGTATAAAGCTTTTAGAGATGGGAAAAACCGTTATTTTCAAATAACAGTTACAACTATTACTGTTAATTTTAAATAACAGCTTAAAATAACAGGTTGTCGTCATTTTTAACTTCTCGTGGTAGGGTTGCAGTTAAACGATTATCGATCCGTTATGATGTATTTGGAACTTAATTCAAGCAGTGCCAGAAGTAGGCGGCAACGGCTAAAGCTGGAGTCTCATGCATCCGTTTTCCAACGAAAGATGTCCGAAAAACCTTCTATTCTGACATAATCGTATGAAAATATGTCAAAATAAAAGGTTTTTCGAACATCTTTTGTCGGAGAATAGATGCATGAGACTCCGGCCTAAAACGTGAGGAAGTGGGGAGTGTGGTCAGAGAACGCACGTGCCTGTATAAAGTCCGACGTCCGACAAATACTATTTTAAAGTCACGTGATATTGGTGGCAAAAAACGTATGTCCATTGATTATGTCGTTGATATCACCTACAAAAAGCTACTGGTGGTTAATTACTATTGAATTTTAATATATGTTCCCACTAGCATTTTACAAACGCGTTTCTGAAGTAGTATTGACCAATCAGAGGGCAATTTTAATACTTGCAATTGTTGCGAGACTCACTTTTGTCGCTTCTGCTGCCCCTTGTAATACATTCTGAACTTGAATTGGGAACCCGTTTTCTATTTGCTTCTTTTCGAGTTGAAAAAAGGTTAATGTAGTCAAAATTATTAGCCATGTTTGTTCGTTGTATCATTTTCGAAAATAACTTTGATAAACTAATTGATGACAGTGACGGATTCTATTTCAGGTAAGAATATTATGAACATTAGACACTAATTTTTTTGTCAATTTTACTATCACCGCTGTTTATCCGTGCGTTCGTTATTTTGGTCTGAGTTCTCCGAGCTTGACTTTACCGTTCGTTTATTTAAAAAGTGTACTCGGTGCAGCCTCATTCGCGTTCGTTTATTAAAATTTCCGGTACTTTTATACAGCGTTCAACTGCTCCGTTCGCTCGCTGGTCACGTGATTACGGCTCCGCTCAGCTCGCTCTACACTTTGAGCAAAATACCGAACGCAAGGTAAGATGTATTCAACAAGGATAGAGAAAAATCACGTGACTTTAAAATGGTATTTGTTCGACTTTATTATTGTGATTATTATTCTGTATTTTGTCCATAAAACAGGCAACCCACTCAGGCCCATTGTAAGTGCAATAGATTCGCCCACATACAGCATAGCCAAATACCTCACCACCCTCCTTCAACCACGGATTGGCCAATCCAGCTTTTATGTCAAGGACTCAACTCATTTCATCAAAAAGATCAGTGATATCACTCTATTACCAAACGACATTCGACATTAGTTTTGATGTCGTCTCATTGTTTACTAAGGTACCAGTAAATCAGGCCTTAGAGTGTCTGAAAGATGTTTTTCCGGAAGAAATCAACAACTTATTTCACCACTGTCTGACGACTACGTACTTTCAATGGCAAAATGAATTCTTTGAGCAGACAGATGGAGTCGCAATGGGAGGTCCACTCAGCCCGGTTATCGCCAACTTTTACATGGAACACTTCGAACAAATGGCACTACGAACGGCTACAAAGAAACCTACTTGTTGGTTTCGCTATGTAGATGACACATTTGTTGTTTGGAACCATGGAGAGGCAGAGCTCGAAAACTTCCTTAATCATCTAAACTTGATAAAACCCAGGATACAGTTTACGATGGAAGTTGAGAAGGATAACAAAATTGCATTCCTCGACGTCCTCTTAGAAAGATTACCCTCAGGTAAACTGGGACACAGAGTGTACAGGAAGCCGACACATACGGACAGATACCTCAATAAGGAATCTAATCACCATCCTAGGCAAAAGAGAAGAGTCATTAAAACTCTATCTGACAGAGCAATCCGGATTTGTGAACCCAGATACCTTCAGGACGAGATGCAACACCTAAAATCGGCACTTGAAGGAAATGGGTACTCCAAGCAGGAGATAAATAGAGCCATAAGACCGAAGCAGCAGCGCACAACTAACAAGGAACCAGCACAGGTGGCAGGGAGAGCCTTTCTTCCCTATATCAAAAATGTCACAGATCGCATAGGACGAACGCTAGAAAGACACAACGTTAAGCCTATCTACAAGCCCACAAGAACAATTCAGCAAAGTCTAAGATCGGCCAAGGATCCTAGGGCACCTCTTGAATCGGCTGGCGTCTATAGAATTCCCTGCTCTTGTGGATCTGTCTATGTAGGAACAACCAAACGCTCTATCAACACCAGGGTCAAAGAGCACAAAAGAAACTGTCAGCAAGGACAAATAGATAGATCAGCAATCGCCGAACACGTGCTTACACAAACAAACCATGTCATTCGTTTCGACCAGACTCAAACATTGGATAGAACCAAACATTTCTACACCAGGCTCCACAGAGAAGCCATAGAGATACAGAAACACCACAACAACTTCAACAGAAAAGAAGAGGGCATGAACCTCAATAAAAGCTGGTTGCCAGTTCTCCGAAAAACAAAGACCCTTCCTTTCCGAGAACGAGACAAGGAAAATACCGTAATCCAAGCCACGCCCACAACCCTGGATATAAATAACGCAGTTCCCTCAACGTCGAATTCAGTCATCGGAGAAACACGGAAGAGAACACTTCGTCCTCTACCACACCGCCTCTGAAGATGTCTATCGCAGCAGTAGATTTCGTCTACTGCTGCGTTAGGTAGAAATACTAATGGACCACGGCATTATAGCCCGGAAAAAACTTTTTTGCTAGAAAAAGTTATATGTTTTACATGGCAAAAAAGCAGATTTATTGCCTCGGCTGGTTTCCTAGCCTTGGCTACGCCTCGGCTATGAAACACCAGCCACGGCATTAAATCTTGTACTTAATGCCTAATAAAACAAATAACTATTTGTTGTTCCTTGTCAGTTTAGTTTATCTGGATATCAAGGATAGTTTTTGTATTATTTTCTACTAGAGTACTGTCAAAAGTTGATTGCAGTAAGTTCCAAATACCTGCAACAATAATTTGTCATGTGAATTGTCAATATATTATTAGAAGTAATAGCGGTGAAGAATATTTATGCGAAACGTGGAAATTCAATGTTAGCTAACACACAATGTCTGTCCAATTGCCATCGATTCAGACAGCCAAATTACCCACAGACGTCCCCAACAATATCATTTCCCTACTCATTTACTGCGTAGCTGATAACAGTTTGATGCTCACTTTGGATAACGTGAACAGCGACCATTGGCTTCCGTCTGTGAAAGCTGATTACAACGTCAGTTGGTCCAGATTGATAGGAAAAGAAGCTCAAGATGTAATGAAACAAATCATTTCACTTATCCGGTATTAAAACTATATTTTCAATAGATTGTCGGGTCGAAAACTGCGGTGAAAATTCTACGTCTGTACAAAATCTGGTATCCGAGAAAAGAAGGCGATCTCACGCTATGGCATTGCGTTTTCCAGCTTTGCGTCGACATACCTACGAAGAATAAAACCAAAAACACAATGGGCAAGTGGCGCGGTAAAATCAGGTGGATCCAGGAAGCCGACCTGCTTGGTTTGTTGCAGTCCAACAGCTTGAGATCGCCGGAATTATTGGAATTTTATCAATTAGCCAGAGATGTCGATTTGAACCAATTAAATTTCGATCTTCCCGACGATATTATTTCGAGTAAAAATATTTCCGAAATAACTGATGACGCTTTGGTGTCGGGAAAGACTACGCTGCTTCAACAACTCGTCGAAGCATCTGGAATTGATAAATTAGGTTAGAGAGAAGCATATTGAGTTCGAAAAAAAGGTTTGAATTTGTTGTTTTTTTTTAGCGCAAGAGGATATTTTTAGTAGGGTGTTCTTGAGTTTATGTTTTCCAGCCACTTATATGAGCTTGAGAGCGTTTTCGAAGTTTGTACCCGAAGTTGGATGGCCTAGACAGCACGCGCAATTCTTGTTCAGGTAAAATTTAGTTAGTTTTGTTTGCCTTGCCATTGAAATTTCATTATAGTTATAAGAAGACTGATAATAAATTATCTATTAGAAACTAACCTATATAAACATCTATCTCAGTTACATTCCTCCGTAGTGCTATTATGAACACCACTGTTTAAATGGCCACCACTCTTATTAAAAACCAGAATCATATTTCTTGAGCTCTAGTCTCACTACTACAGGGTGTCCCAGGGAAAACAGTCCACCCCGATTTATTGGATTTGAGAATCTGGAAAAACGCTCAGACACGTCGATTTTCGATTTGAGGAGGAACTATTTTTCAGTTTATTTCATCCCCGTAACTTCAACCCCCTAGCTAGGGGGAGAACAACCCCCCAAATTTGAATAGGGGATTGGGGTCATGTCGTATCTCTTTTTAAAGGTCTCATCGAGTTCTTTACGCCCCTAGAATTATGTCTCATTATTTTCATCCGTAACGAAATGACAGCTTGTCAAAATCTTGGAGATAGACTATTAGTTTTAATGGGAGTAGAAGCGATACTTACCTCCCTTAATAAAAATACTTGAAATTAAATTTTTTCTTATTATTATAGAGGTGTACACGAGAATTGTAAATTGAAGGTATTTTCACTCGTATTTTTATTAAAGGAGGTAAGTGCCGCTTTTACTCCTACTAAAACATAGTCCATTTTCAAGATTTTGACAAGCTGTCATTTCGTTACGGATAAAAATAATAAGATGAAATTCTAGGGCCATAGAGAACTCGATGAGACCTATACCCCTATCCCCCATTCAAATTTGGGGGGTTGTTCTCCCCCTAGCTAGGGGGTTGAAGCTACGGGGATGAAAAAAACTGAAAAATAGTTCCCCCTCAAATCAAACATTGACGTGTCCGAGCGTTTTCCCAGATTCTCATCCCAAACCCAATAAATCGGGGTGGACTGTTTTCCCTGGGACACCCTGTATAATAGAAATAGCAGAACAGATAATAGGCCTCCTAGAGAAAACGCCGAACAAACTGTCGATAGAAACGAAACAGCTACCTACTAAAAAAAAGGAGAAAACTGATAACCAAGGGTAAAAGAGACACTATTGAATACACAGAAACCAACAAAACAGCAAGAAAAATGGCGAAACAGGATATAATAAAACATCAAACGAAACAAGTGCAATCCCTATTAGAACAGAACAAAAGACTAAATATATTTGAAAAACATAACACACCTAAAAAAGAGATAACAAAAATAAAAGATGCAAAAAACAACATAGTAGAAGACAGACAACAGATATTAGAAGTTACGGAATCTTTTTATAGAGATCTGTACGTACGAATCTAAAATAGCAAACACAACGACAAGAGAAGACAAAGTACGAATAGTAAATGCAAACTCAGAAGTAATGCCCGACATAAATATGGGAAGAACTGGAGAAAGGGTTATCCCAGATGAAAAATGGTAAAGCATCAGGAGTAGACAACATTCTGCCTGAAATGCTCAAGAAAAGCTATACTAAGACGAGACAAGAACTAGTGAAACTATTCAATAAGTGCCTAACAGAAAAACATATACCCAAAGATTGGGTAGTTCTTCTGATCTACAAGATAGGTGACCCGATTGATCTCGAAAACTACCGGCCGATAAGTTTACTATCACAAATATATAAATTATTCACCAGAATAATCACTATAATGATCCGGAAAAATAATCCCGATATTTACAATGTCTCTACTGTAAAAATTAAATGTAATCAATTAATCAAAAACTGAATTTTCGGTATTTCAAACCAGTATCGATAAATTGAAAATGAAACAAATTAGCCTTGATCCCAAATTAAATTAAAATATTATATACAGGGTGTATATTTTAAGTGATATCACTATTGCTATATCCGAAACGGTAAGATCTACAAGGTCGGTTAAATTAGAAAAAAGTTGCCTTTTCTGATGCCCATTCACGACTCGTTTACATTGTTGCCAAATTCCTCTTAGTTTATGAAATACAGGGTGATTTCTAAGGAAAGCCCAAAAATATTTCATCAATTATTTCGAAAACTATTGATTTTCGAGACATAATTTAAATTTGAAAGTTTTACAATTTTTTTCGCTCTATAACATGGCATCTTCAAATTTTAAATCCGACGTTTCGACATCGAACTACCATCATCAACTTCATTTTTTTAAATATGGACCTGGATATTTTATGTCATTTTTAGAAAGGGATGAATGAAGGGCGCTAGAGCAAAAAAAATTATAAAACTTCCAAATTTAAATTGTGTCTCGAAAATCAATAGTTTTCGAAATAATTGATGAGAATTTATAGAGATAGGTGAAGGGTAGTTTAATAGGAATGAATCGGCAATGTTGAAATGAATAAACTTATAAGTTATTAGGAATAGTAGGAATAGGGCGTTACTTTATTTGTATGGATATTTTCTGGTCCGTAATAATGACATTTGAACGGATGTGAAATAATTTGAATTGGGAAAATTAGAAGTGGTTGTCATAATTTGCTTATTTAAATTTTTGATTTTATGTATAATAGTTATTTATACACCAAGTGAGCTAAATGAATGTTTATTCATGAGAAGAAAGTTTAACCCACGAGCCCTAGCGAGTGGGTTAATTTTCTTCGAATGAATAAACATTTCAACTCACGCGATGTATACAAAATTTTATTCCATTTTGTGGAAATTTAAAAGATAAAGTACAAGGAAAAATGCCGGGAGTGAGTTAAAAATATTTTAAATCACTGAAGTTTCAGATTTTTAGTTGGGCAGAGTGACTTAAAATGCCGAGAGTTAAAATGTTTTTAAATCACTGAGGTGATAAACGTCTACTTACCTTTATTGTTATGCGTTCAATAATGACATTTTTAAACGTCAAAATGGGATAATAAAATATAATTTAGTAAATCTCAATAGTTTGTTTCTCTCTTTTGCGAATAGACCCTCCACAATTTTATAGGTAGCAGCTCCAAGGAAATAAACACCATCAATATACCGCTCGCCATTTACCATCTAACCAATTACATAGAGTACTTGGGGCGTTTTGCTACAAATTGGTACCGAGTTGCGCAAAACCGAAGACAATGGTCAAATTTGAAAGAGACCTATATCCTAAGGATAGAAAACGGCTAAAAATGGAAATGGAAATCTCACTACGATCTCCTCTCCTCTGAAATTAACCGGTCTTGCTCCTTGATCAAGAATATTAATTTTTATAAGTAGTATCAACGCTCTTTCTATTTATGGAAAGATATATCAGGTTTCGAGGATCTATTATCTGTAATTCTATATCCAGGATCTACAGCTGGAGTAAGTAAACTCTATAATGTATGCGAGGGATCACTATTGTAGTAGGAACCTGAGACAATGTTACACTCTATGCTTATAGTCGTCACCACTGATTCCGATATAATCTCAAGTTTATACCAATCCGTTCTTTCAGTGATCGATTGCTATAAACTTTTAGCTCTTAGAGATTTTAGTTAAACCCCAGAAGTTCTTGAAATGTTCAAGACTTTCTCTCCTAATCGAGGATTTAGGTTCCCAAAACTGTCAAAATAAACGACCATATCGCCATTCTTCCTATAAGCTACCCAATACGTTTCAGATCCAAATTGACTACGCCACATTCGGTTTTCTTTAGAGATGATGGTAAAGAATCTCGCACACACCTCTATAATTAGGAACTTTAAGTTTTGTAGCGTATTCCTCAATATCCTGATAAGTAAGTGGTCGATTGGATAGATTTATTGGAAGTTTTTTGACATCTTTTTCAAAAACAGAGCATATCCAGTCTTGTGTTTAGTCATATATATAATCTTCACTTCTATCCCACCGCACTAGCTTCCATAGATTTGCGGTGTCGTTTAGATTCGGAAAGTTTATCCTTTGAGAACGAGTATCGTTCACTGCTTTTGCAATTCCAGCCGCCCCACCACTCAAAGCGCCTAGTGCGCTAAGTCCACACTTTTAACCAGCTTTTTTAACTACCTTGCGAGTTACTTGAAGAGCCGATTTAATAAAGTCTCTTCTTCCTTTATTCCTATTTACTTTTCCACATTAGAAACATCATAGGAATTGAATAAATTGTTTGACTCTCTCGCACCCCATACTATACCGAGTTTACGTTTAGCATTCATTGCAGTCGTTACAAGTCATGCAGCACACATCACAAGCAGATCAAAAGCATGAAATTCTTCAACTGAAAAATCACTACTATAAAAAAAAAATTGTCCGGAAGCTATTCTAAGTTAAAATGTTGAAATTCATCCAGTTTATTAACACAAATTTTTTTCAAGGGCTGCCGATACAAGCAACAGATATGCCATATCCTTCAGGGAATTTTTGTACTTTTTGGCCGCTGTTGATCCCGCTACAGGCCATGGAGGCTCTCTGGCAGAGCTTCGCTGCAGATATATGTTCAAGTATTTCACCTTCATCCAATCTCTTATCAAAAATGACACAAAATTATTGCTATAGATATTACGATCGGGACAAGGACAACTTACTAAAAGCAGAAGAATTCAAAAACCTAATAACCGACCTGAGAAAATCGAAAAAGCTCCCCATCGACCAGGCCAGCATCAACAAGGAACTGCAGGAAACTTACAAGGCGTTGGGAGTTCAGGAAAGTCAAAGCATTAACATTGGCGAGTTTATGAAAGGCATTTGCGATTTGAAAATCAGAGGAACTTCGCACATTTTCCGATCCCCAACTGGAATTTTAAAGTTTCTAAAGGACAACAGGTAGGTATAATTAGTACCTATGTTTTTTTTCTTACAATTGATGTGTATTGTGCATCAATTGAATTTTCAATTCAAAAACTTAATTGACAATGGAAAATATGTGGAAACTGAATGTTTTCAAGGGCGACGTGAGGCTTCTTTTATTTAGCGAAATTGGTGACGCTTTTAGTTCATCAGTCGCAAAAACAGGCGAATTTTCAAGAAACCAGAGGGCAAGAGTCGTGTTTCAAGACACAATCATCACACTTTTTCGGAAACCGACTGATAACCCTTGGCTCTTGGTACGACACTGAGCCGGTTTGTTACATTACCTCCTCCGTGAATGTTTTCTCCTAGAAGCTACCGGGTTGGATGGCTCGGTCGAGGGTGTACTCATCATACCAACGTTCAACTATACTGGCATGTCTACTATGGACGAGACCACAGGAATGCATGGCATGGATATTTTGAAGTTCTAGATCGGTCGTGGTAAACTCGTCGGATAGTTCAGCTTTGTTATTGACAGTCAGTTGGGTATGGAAATGTAACTTTTCTGGCGTAGTATTTACCGTTGTCATTTCCTCACTGTGAGGCAATATTGTTCTGCCTTCAATCTGAGCGTAGCAATATTTGTCTAACGGAAGCAGTCTACTGGACGGTACGGATCTCATAGTTCTTGGAACTATGATTGTTTCTGTTTAGGCACTGTATCACTGTTTTAAGGGGACGACTGACGCTGTATGCCCACCGGTTATCTCCGGCGGTACGGTGGAAAGTCTTTGTTGGAATGGTAGAGATCGTCTTCTAGCATATTTGTGCGAAAATCTTTGTTTCTTCTCTGAACAAGGCCATGTTGCAACTGGTGCCTGGTAGATGCCGAATGGGTGTCAGCGGTGAACAGATCTTAAGGGTCTTTCCTCGGCATTTGCTTACTCGTGATCTTTCATCTCATAGTAAGACATAGCATCATTGGCGACAGCTAGTAGGGAACTAGTGGTGGTTATGGAAATGGATGCGTTGACTTTAAGGTTAAAGAAAGAAAAGGGAATTATTCGGTATAATGTGAAGGATCGGCCTGGAGGTAGCGAGGGGAAACTCTGCAAGGATGCAGATGGTTCCACCAAAGGATGCAGCATAGGTATTGTCAGTAGTGTAGAAAATATGAATGTATTCTATTCTGTTACGCCGCCACTATGTCAAGAATCTTAGGCTGTCGAATACCCTAGAAATTAGATTCCTATAATAATCTGGTAAATTCTACTTAATCGGGAGAAGAAGAGTTATCGTGTGTATTCTAGATTGTACAGGAATAGATTTAGGGACATATAAAGGCCGCTATTGTTTTGTAGTTTAAGTTTGACTGTGATAAGAGTTATATAGTGATTATTGTTGCGAGTTGTAAAAAGTTTAGTTGTTGAGTTAATAATTAGTGTCAAAGTGTATAGTTACGTGGAATAAATTATTGCTGTGTTAATTGGACTTTGATTTTTGGAATAAACGAAACGAACCCAAGATCTCTGTCAGGCAACCCAAAGCCGTGACAATTCGTACGGCGTGAAGGAAAGCGTAGTTGTTGGGAAGCTGGTCTTCAACAGTTATTAGTGTCTCCTTTAGTTTAAGGGCACTACTGGTATTGCTCAGTCTGCCCTGGGCTATTATGTCCAATGAACTATAACCAGTGGCGTAGCCAGGATTTTGTCTTGGGGGGGGGGCAAATTTGCAGGAAGCGTCTCTTGCAGCCCTACCGCGACTGCTGCCGGAGGCAAAGCGCCGCAGGCGCGAAATTTCTGGGTGCCACGCCCCTTTTTCAGGTTTCTTTACGCTATTTTTGGGACTGTTTATCTTAATTTTGAAGAAATATTCATAAAATTTAAGGGTCTTAGGGGGGAAAATGCCCCCTTGCCCCCCCCCTGGCTACGCCAGTGACTATAACCAAAAACTGGAATGCGAACACATATTGATGAACGTGAAGCCTAGTGCCGCTGCTGCGGAGGGGATACCTGTTTTTGTCGCACTCATTATGGCGGAAATTGCTTCCAACACGTATTCCAATTGATGAAACCTGTGAAGGTAAATATGACAAAACTTTCCGAAACGTCATATGTCAGCGAGCAACAGAAAAAAACAACATTTCCCTTTGTGGCATCTGTCTTTCATGGCTACATTTTTTTGGCAGATATGGCAATGTGTGCGCATTCCAGTTTTTGACTATAGTTCATTGATTATGTCCAATGCTATTTCTAACTGGTTGACATCGTGTTCGATAGATGTGATTTCGAAACCTAGCATTCCTGTCGAGTGTTCCTGGTACTGGATACAGAACTAAAAATCTTATGGGAGGTGTCAGTTACGGTAGATAAGGTTCGTGATCGGGGCTAGCGGCTTGTGCCTAGGGGGTATTTCTGGTGAACCTATGGTTTCAGGGATAGGAGAACTAACATGCGAACTTGAATGGTTTTGTGTAATATCGGGGCTACTCGTGCAGTTGTTAAATACTGCAGCATATGGTTCATCTTGATCAGATTCTGCGTTTATCCAATCTTCTTCTCCGGTAATGATTCGGTGTTTGACTTGAGGAGTGGCTCGTACTACTGTTCCTGTAGTGTGGAAAATATCGGCGGATTCTGTGACTAATTCAACTAGCTATTCGTGTTCCTGGGGACTCAAGTTGCTCAAGGTTATCTTGTCTATAATCGTCACAACGGGTTGGATAGACGCTACATGTCTCACATGACGGCTTTCTTGACTGGTTCCGCTCCAGTGGTTCCACGGTTCCAAGTGTCCTACAACAGTCGCTGTGGGGTCGGTCAAGTCAGTTTTTGAGATATTTAGTAGGTGGATCGGTATCCAACTGTTAATCTTAACCAAACATCGAGCGACCATAATCCCGTGGACATGCATTTCCGCTGGGTGTACGATCGCCGTGTCTGCTTTTGGTCACAATTCTACCTGACGCGAGTAGTTCACTACGGGCAGGTATGGTCATAGTTTCGGTTAATTTAACAGGGAAAGTTGGATCATCCTCTATGCTCTCGGTTTGGGTGAGGCCCCAATCACCCATAGTGGATGCCTCCTCGGCATTTCGGATCAATTTGACTCCTTTATTTTGTCTGGCGACAGGTAACGGCTCTACCTTCGGTTTATCCTTAGATGTTGTCTGGCTTCTGTCATTCGGAGTCATCGGCTTCGGTTTTTCTGTGTTTTTTCGTGTTTCACAGCTTGTTACTGGTTTATTCTAGTGTGTCAGTCTCCTCAGGTTTTCGATGTTCATACTATCAACCAGAGTATATACAGGGTGCGTAGCCCGTGCATTAGATTGCAGGTAGATTGGATGCTATCTCTACTTATTCACCTGCAATCTGGAAAACTTTTAACATACGGGCTACGTAAGGATTATGGGGTTCTCTTCCAATGGTAAATTGATTCGGTACTCTTTCAGAAAGTCCGCTCTTAGTATACCCTGATGTATAATAGTAAATTCAGCGAGAACGACCATATGAACTCGTGCTTGATTATGAATTTGCCTAATGTGAATGTTAATTTGGTATATTAATCCAGTAACTTTGACCGTTAGAGTAGGGGATACTGTGCGTCAAGTCCGCAGTAGTTCTGCTGAGTTATTAATGATATTGCCCAATGAATTACCCAAGTTTTCGAACTCACTTGTTAAAAATGCAAAAAAAAGCGTAAAATTATCGCTTTCGAGTTTTTTCAAGGAACCAGGGATCAAGAGCCGTGTTTCAAGACATAATCATCACACTCTTTCGGAAACCGACTGATAATCCTTGGCTCTTGGTACGGTTTCGTCAGAAATTTAGCGTCTTTAGCGATATAATCTAACTGGGTAAGAAGCCAATTAATTGTATTACGGAAAAAAAATGACTTTTAGGCCGGTTTGTTACACTACTTTGGATAGATTTTAATTGAAAAGAAGTGAAAAATTGCAACGAATATTTTGTTTAAATAACGTATTAAATCGACTCAATATAAAGTGTGTGCCAAATCCCAAATCACACTTAAAACGCACCAACTGAAGATCAGAATATTTTGTGACCCAGAACAACTCAAGGCTACAGACCAACTCAAGGTCATTAAAGGCCATATTTTCAAGGTCAAAGAGGCAGAGCCAAAGTCAAGGCTGAAGGGTGGGGATGTCAAGGTCAGGGGGTGGGGATGTCAAGGTCAGGGGGTGGAGCCAAAGTCGAGGTCGTAGTGTGTAGGTGTTGAGGTCAGGGGGCGGGACCAAAGTCAAGGTCAAAGAGTGGGGGTGAACCTGGATCCTTCAAGGTCGCAGGGGTGGGAGTGGTTTCGGATCGGATAATGCACACTACTAATATACAGTGAGGACATAAAGTCCGTCGCCCCCCTTCTAACTTTTGAACCGCTCGGTATATTGCAACGAAATTTGGAATGATGATATGTGAGCAAATTTTCCATTTTTTGAAATGCAAATGACAGCTTCAGTTGTCAAAGTGACAGCTGGGCGGAGTTTTGAAACGTTTTTTTAAATACAAGGCGGTGTCGAGTGATATATCGTTTTGAAGGTCTCTTTATTCTTATTTTAATCCTCGATTCTGGAAACATTTGGTTTAGCGGTTTTCAAATGATGACGAAAAAACAAAGGCTTGTTTTGCTCATAAACACTCATAAGAAAAAAAATTTAAAAAAAAATTATCGGTTTTTTACACATTATTGTTTTTTTTTTAGTAATAAATAATGACGTAATGACATTGGTAACTTGAAAAAATAACAATAGTACCTACTCATAAAATAATTATGCAATTACTAAAAAAAAAAAAATATGACCAGAACAAGCCTTTTTTGTTTCGCCATCATTTGGAAACCACTTAACCAAATGTTTTCAGAATCGGGGATTAAGTTAAGAATAAAGAGATCTTCAAAACGATATATCACTCGACACCGCCTTCTATTTAAAAAAATGTTGCAAAACTGCGCTCAGCTGTCACTTTGACAGCTGAAGCTGTCATTTGCATTTCAAAAAATGAAAACTTTGCTCACAT